ATCCCCTGAAGGTCTCTTTCCTATTCTCTCCATAATTCCTACCCACAATCTGTTCTGTGTTTTATCTTTCTTTGAACTCATCCCCATCTTCTTTGCCTGAATAATATTTGCAGAATGACTTCCTCTGGGACTGACTACAAAAACACTTCTCTAGCAAACCAGCCTGGACAGGCATGGGTCTGGATTAGGGGTCTCTGCTAAAAGCTTCTACAAGCCCTTTAAACCTTCAGTTTTAAGATATTTAAGATATTGTTCAGAGGGCAACACTTCTACCACCTTAATGCCTAGCAAAAAAAGACAGCCATGGTGAGTAAATGAATGAATGTGTCCTTCAATAATTGCTCAGAATCATGACCTACAAGGAAATATTACTTAAATGTGGCTCTTTGTCGCGGATTTTCTGGTGATATCAAGAGAATGTCTTCCTGTCTGAGAATCCTAACAATGCTAAAGACTGCAAAAATCTCCAAACCATTCCCTCAACCTATATCAAAGGTTCATCAAGTAGGCTACCTTCTAAAGGGCCAGTCATAAGCATCACTGGGAAAATTTGAAGGAAAGCTTGCTCTACAGGAAATATGTCAACAGTTGTTTCCCTGATTCATTTTATCAGAATAATTGTCACCATGTCAGGAACGCTGAACACAATCAATATACAATATGCATGGATCTCTAGAGTTGACCACAATGGAGCCAATTTCAACAAGAGATAGTTATTAGAACCATGTAATCCAGGAGTCCTGAGATGGTCTGACTACTACAATACAAGTTAGTTTACAATTTGAAATAGCCATTAATGTCAATAGACAGCCATTAATAGGCTATACCGAAATTCTGACAAGCCTCATCACATGAACACAGTTGCAAAAGCCACATTTTTAAAAACTTTGCAGAAATGTAAGTAGCCTAATAGTAGCATGAACTTTTACAGAATTTTTGCTAAAAGCCCAAATTCTCTGACAATCAAGTCTATGAAAAGTCCGCATTGTAATGCTAATTTTACTCAGAGAAACAAACAAGTAAAATAACCAACATGTTGCAATCATTCCATTTTTAAGTATGAAGGGAAGCCACTAAAACAATGTTTCCCTTTATGATAATGTACAACATATTTATGAAATCACTGTCAGTGTCTCCAAACAGACCTCTTTCATAGTTTATCCCTCTTAAACTCATTGCTTTGCAGGGACTTTTCTCTGAGGAAATGTTCTACACAAGCCACATGGGAACAGAGGATCAAAATGGCCAAAACTGCCACTGACTCATGGGTGTCTTAAAGTTTCAACAAATGATGCCTAACTGCATGCTAAATGGTTACCACCCATCCCTTATGGTTTACCAATCCTATACTTACCTATAGTGCTACCACCCTGAAATTACAGGTTCCTGGGCAAGAACATTAACAGTAATAATATACTTTGTAGTAATATTTATTCGTGGATCTCTTAAACAAGTTTCAACATTTATGAATTGAATATTATCATAGTAAGTCCAGCTTCCATAGAAAAAACCAAAAGCCTTGATTTCTCCTCTGTATCAGCATTAAGTGTGCAGTGAGGGGTATTTCTTTCTACATCAGATAACATGTTGATAAAGTTATTTTTAAAATAAGAGCTTCCCCTGCTCTTGGTAGCAAGGTATTGAATATTATAAGTGTATTGTGTAATATGTGCTGTAAAACCATGGAAGAAATTTAATAACTGTAATATCAACAAATTTAACTGTATCATATTTATTATACATGCACACTGTAAATGACAATTTTTATCACGTCATCTACAGGAGGTGCTCTTAGAATTGTGCATTAAACCAACAAAAACTGGCATGAAACTAACATATATCCCAAGTTGAAAAATCTGAGCTGTGTAATATCAAAACGTGATCAGAAAAAGGAAAATAAATAGAAGAGAGTCCTGAGGGGCTGTAGAGAGCCAACATTGGGCAGTGTTTGTCCCCATCCTTGATATAGCTTCACCTAATACCTACTGGAGGAAAAGGCAAACGATAGCATAAAAACTTGGAGCTATAGGCACTGAATGGCATCCATCAACTAACTAAAAAACATGTGGAATTCAGCTATCCCAGGCTTCCTAAATAACATGACTGCAACCTCATACATCAAAATTGGTCTTTGGATTTGCCAGCCTAAGTCTTGCCCAATAGACAAACATAAGATAATGTCTTTGCATGGGTCAGAAACACAATGGACATGTTGCTACCCAGTTTTCTATAAGTGTTCCTAGATCAGTTAGTAAAGTGCTTTATAAGCATGAAGACCTGCATTCAATCCCAAGCATGCAAGTAAAAAGGTAGGTGAGGCAACACATATTTATAATCCTAGTGTTCGGAAGGCAGTGGCAGGAAGACTCCTTGGGCTCCCTGGAAAGTGTTTCTAACATAATCGGTGAAATTCGGGCCAATGAAAAGCCTGTCTCAAAGGAGATGATGGGCTATCTGAGGATGATACCTTATACTGCCCTTTGGCCTACACATACAAACACACATACACACACACACACACACACACACACACACACACACACACCTACACACAGGTACACATCAGGTATAATCTTTTTATTACAGTTAAATGAAACCGTAATCTTCAAACATTTCTTTATATCAAATGTTTTTAAAAATTATCACTAATATATGATTATAAATTCTATGCAAGTATATCACCACTTGCTCTAAAACAACTTTTATTTCATAAATGTTATCATACATCTTCAAGCTAATGTACATGTTTTCCACAAGACACTCGAATTTTTCATGATAAAACTGTCTTCTGTGTTAGGACAGTTCCAATGCCTTCCAAATTTTCACTCACTGTAAATTCACAACCCCAACCATAATTGTGGACACATAGAATTTAGCCTTTTTAGTCTTTTATGACCCTGGAATTGATGAAACAGTGCTCAGAAATTCTGTCTCGAGGGCATTTAAGATCTGAGCACATGACTTTCCTCTACATATCCAGTAAATCCATATTAGTTGAGACTATCCCATACATTAACTTCTCAAACATACATATCACATATATAGGTTGATAGCCACAAAATTATACCCAAAAGAACTAAACTCATTGTCTTACAGAAATGAGGAGTATGGTACTAGAAAGAACATAAAAATGTAGAAAATAGCCACAGTAGTTAGCATTTCCTCAGTAAGCCCAGGACGCATTTCTCAACAGATTAACTCACTATGTCGCATGCACATTGACAGCCTCTAAGTTAATATCAAGTCACACAGAACTGTGAAAGAATTTGCCTAGTAGGCAAGACTGAGTCCAAGTGATGGGAACCCAGAGCCCAGTGCCCTTGACACTAGGCGACACTGCCAAGTCCGTTGGGGGGAAAAAAAAGATTTTCACCTTTAAAAAGTATAGTCCAGAAGGAAGTTTCTGTCACTGACTGGTACTTTAGCTGAATGTCAATTCCTATAAATAGTAGGAACTTAACTCTTAAATACACACCTCTTCTTAAAGCAACTGATTATGAAATCATTTGAAGAACAGAAATGAGTATGCTCTTAGCAATTTTCACAGCCATTATAATACTTTTCCTTTCCAAATCCACCTAAGAGCATTCGTAAAGTGCTAAAATAAATTAGCTGGATTGTAAAAGAGGAGATTTTTTTGAAACACTGGTAAATGAACAATCTAAGTTTCTTCACACTTAGTGGGGAAAATATGTAAGAGACATTCATTCTCCTGAAAACTTACTTTTCAGAAGCACTGATTTAGGTTCTGCAAAGGGTTCTCATAAAAGCGTACAATTTATGACAATTAACACTGTGACTCTGTGAGTAGTAGGAAAATCGATCAAGGCTGATAAGCTACATTTACGGGTGAAGTAACAAAAGGCATTGTGAATACAAAAGGTGATTCCACAGGGCACAGACCGTCTCTCCCATCCACCGGGAGGAGCTCTCCTGCAGAGGCACCAGTCCTCTTAGCCCTGAGCTCTAGACCTGCAGGCAAGGGAACGTCAGGAAGACTCAAACCTGAGCCTTGCCTCCTACCCACACCACAGGGCACATTTAGAAAATATGTGACACTTCTGATACTTTAGTTTGCTGATTCACTGAGGAGCTGTGAGTCAAGGGAGGTCCCATGAGGAGAGAGAGAGAGAGAAGCTCCTTTTCATTCATTCACACTAGAGGAACACAGTAGATGAAGCATCACAAAACACAGCAAATTCAAAATGCTTAATTATTCTCGCCTAGGTCTTCTGACTTAAAAATCTAATTTTAAAATCCTATTAAATAGAGTTATTTGACTCACGCTGTGCAAAGTAGAAGAAGAGAACAATGTCCTAAGTGTCAATTGGGTATAGCTTTGGGTATAGCTTCAGTAGGTAGAACCCCAGCTTCATATCCCCATGATAATTGCATTTATAAGTGTATTGCTTTTAATATTTCTGCTTCTTTTTTATTATCTTTTTATTTCTTTAATATTTCTGCTTCTTATAGATAAATATTTTAACTTACTTGCTCATATTTTTAAAAAGAATAATGCAACTGAGGTGAGCATGCTAGACTTACTCAATATTACAACAGCAAAAAGTACAATATACTTTCTCCACTTCTACAAATTCAATCAACAATGTTTTCTGAGCACCTACTACACACAGGCATAACACCTACAGACAAGCTTCCTAGGGAGAAAACAATGAACCAATCTTAAGAAGTTTTCATTAAGCAAATTTCTTATTTACAACTTTTTCAGGAAAAAAAAAACTTAAGAAATCTATTGCTCTGCAACATATTTAAGTGTTGCAAGTCTGATTCTCAATTGCAAGTAGATTTTGTTTCCTATCTAATCAGCTTCATTTTATTCTACAAAATCCATATTTTCTTTAAAACAATGAATGGCAACACACCCTTAAAAACAAAACGAAAATAACAAAAATCTCTTCCTGTTTTCCCAAAATCTGCCCATAATCATTCCCTTCTCTGGCATGGGCACAACTGCAAAGATCAGCTGGGCAGCCTCTCACCTGAAGAAGAGTTTGGAGATAAAGCTGGCTTTCTCTAAAGGCGACTTCTGCATGATGTCTCCGTGGTGCAATGAGGTCTGTGTCTGTGTCCCGACAGTTTCAGGTTGGACTCGACCTCTGAATAGCCAGGACCCGGCCAATGCTTTTGGCTCTTCCCCTTTTCTGGGACCTGCGGTGATGTCATTTGCTTCCAATTTCCCCCAACCAACTGAGTCCCACACACCGCCCCTTCCCTCTGCCTTCTTCCCCCGCCTCTACAGCCCAGGTTAAAAGCCAGCGCTGCCTAGCCCAGCCCCACAGCCACTGCTCTCCACGCCCCGTGCCCGCCCCATTCACTCCTTCCTCCTGCGCGCCTTGCGCGCGCCCGCCCGCGCCTCATTTTCCCCGGCTCTCACTCCCAGCGCCTTCCAGCGCTCCCTGTATCTCTACCTTCCGGCAGTAGCAGCCCACACTTCACGCTCCGAAAAACCGTGGCTAATCTGCGGGACCTACAAGTCTTCCTAGGTGGGGCCAAGGGCAATTCATTAGCCTCCTTAGCTACTAGGAGCCTTTCTTCACTGTCTTTTCCTTCTCTCTCTCCCACTCCTCCGTCTTCTCTTTCTCCCTCTCCTCCTTCTCCTAGTCCTTGTCTGCCTTCAATTCTTTCTCCCTGTTCTCTTTTTTCTCCTCCTTCTTCTTTTCCCCCTCCTTCTCTGCTTTCATCTCTTTCTCCTTCATCTCTTTCTCCTTCTCCCCAGCCTTCATCTCTTTCTCCTTCTCCCCAGCCTTCATCTCTTTCTCCTCCTTCATCTCTTTCTCTTTCATCTCTTTCTCCTCCTCTGCCTTCATCGATTTCTCCTTCATCTCTTTCTTCTTTTTCTTCACTTTCTCCCCCTTCTCTTCCCCCTTTTCCTCCACCTTCATCTCTTTCTCTACTTTTTTCTCCTTTTTCACTTTCTCTCCCTCCTCCTGTCTCCTTAGCTTCTGGCTGAGTTACAGTTAAATTTTCAAGATCCATTTTGAAAAGATGAAAGTGTGGCTTCTCTGTATCAAAGAACAGACTCAGAAAGCTGCACAGTTCCACGGAAGTCTGAGGTGTCCACCTCAGCAAGTCCTTCAAGAGCTGGCCAAGACCTAAGTCTGTTGATTGGGGCTCTAGGGTAGCCGTAGTGGCTCAAACAAGTATGTCACAATTCCCTGATATGTCATAATTACAGCCAAAGTCCTCGAGGACAAAGGGATCTACTGCTTTATCCATTTCCCACTCAGCATGTGTTCAGTGTATGGTGTGGCCTTTGTGTTTCAGAAGGCTTTTATGTGTGTGCTAGACAGCGACAACTGGGCTATCTAAACTAAATGATCCTCCTTTAGATTTCCTAGTCTTGCTAAGCAAAATATCTTGAGTAAAACACTGACAGGAACCGGCAGTCACTGAAGCAAAGGTATCCTGCTCTCCGAGAGAATGCCTGTGATTTAGTTCCTGAGAGTTGTCCAGGCTATGTGCCTTCCTTCTAAGCTTTAGGTGTGAGAATTTTTGTGTCCAACACAAAAACCTGCCGACACAAATTCCTGAACCCTTTTATGCCAAACAAGTAAAATAGAGTTTGGATTATTTTTCCTTTTATTGAAAATAGAATTTTCTTGTTATTTAAGCAGTGGTGGCACAGATCTCTGAGTTTCGGGCCAGCCTGGTCTACAGAGCAAGTTTTAGGAGAACCAGGGCTACACAGAGAAACTCTGTCTTAAAAATAACTAAAATCAACAAAATGAAAACAAAACAAAAAGAAAGAAAATGGATTTCTCCCCCTCAAACACTATATCCTGATTACTATTTTCCCTCCCTCTACTCCTCCTAGGTCCTTCCCACCTACCCTTCGATCTGTATCCATTCTCTTTCTGACTCTCATTAGAAAACAGAGAGGCTTCTAAGGGATAATAATAAATAAAAAGATAAAACAAAAACTAGCACACTGGAATTGGACAAAACAAACAGAAAAGAGCCAAGAAGGAAGGCACAAGAAACAGAGACCCATTTGTTTGCAAACTCAAGAATCCCATACAAGCACTAACCTAAAAACCATAATCTACATGCAGAGAACCTGATGCAGATCATGCAGAACCTGTAGCTGCCTCAGGCTCTGTGAGTTTATATGAGCTTTGCTCATGTTGATTTAGAGGAACTTGTTTTCAAGTATCCCCTCTGGCTCTTAGACTATTCCTGCCACCTCTTCTTCAGAGTTCCCTGAACCCAGAGGTGAAAGGTTTGATGGAGACATCACATTTAGGGCTGAGTGTTCCAAAGGAAGAGTTTGATACAAAAAAATCAAAAATTAAAATGTTCTGGTTTGATTCTTGCCTCACCATCTAAACACAGCGTGTTTACTTGTGAGTTATCTGAATTTTTATTTGTAGCCATCCAGCTACAACACAAATAAAATACGCATTTCATAATACTGCTAAGAGAAGAAAATGAATTTAAATTAATGAATCATGACCAAGAGGTTTGAAAGCTTTTCTTTCCATATCTACATTACCCTTTTTCTTTATCTTAAAATACTTGTAAAGACATTTAACTTTTAGTATCCTAAATGTTATTTTAAAAGTAGCAGAAATTATAAATCAAAGTTCTTACAGACAGACACTAGGGGAAACCTTCAGTATTTTCTAACTCGGTATTTTCAAGTACTGTATTTGTGTTTTTATCACTCCATTATGACAAAAGTTGAAACTCAGTACTCACTATCAACTTCTCCCAGCATCCTTGTCCCACCCTTATTCTGTTGTCTATAAGTACTGGTTTGGCACATCAAATGTGATGCTCAGATTCTGAAACTACTTTGTTACCAGTTCCTCTTTGCTCTCACCATCATGTGACTCTAGATGAAGGATTAGATTCCAAAGATCAGCAAAGCTGACCAAGCTATATGACTTCAGGAGATCTCAAGCTTCTTCCTCTTCAAAGGACAATGAAAAGGATGAGTTCTTTCATTTTCCATGGATCATTCATTCAACAGCCATGGGCATATATACGATTAGGCCAGTTGATGAAGCAAGCGTCCAAGTGAATAAATGTCCATAATACTGGATTCAAAGTCAGTCCCATGGTGTGAAGCATTACTTCTAATCAAATTTCCCATCCAGCACTCACATTATGTCACCCCAGCCTTCTGTCTCCTCAGATTAGCTTCATGAAGTCAAAACTTCTACACCTACTCAACAATAAGACAAGAAAGCAGAAACCTAAGACCAAGAAGTCCCTGGAGTTATATATCTTTGATAAATCTTATGTAAACATTATAATCCATTCTAAGAGTATATATTACATGAGCACAGAACACCTTAGATTTTTATCATGAAACATCACATCTCAAACTTGTTTGGGCAGAAGATTTTAAAAGGTAAGCATGTCCAAGTAAAGTAACTGAGATATGATATACAGAATTTGTGTCTAGTTACATACCTGACACAAATGTGAAAATATATCAAAAAATGTTCAGATATAAAGTTGTAAATGAAACTCTCAAGGGGAATAAGAATCTCAAGGAGAATAAACAGATCAGGATGAACATAAGAGGAGACAGTAAAATGTAGTAGCTTTTCACTTCAAGATAATCAAATACGAGCTCATATCATCCTACAACATTATTGCAATAGCTTACAATCATTAGACTATTACTATATATCCTGAGTACAATTACAAACATACAGCATAATTCATCTCATTTAACTGAGAACACGTTCATAAACAGGTAAGTAATATCATTTACTGCATAAGAAGGATCTGAGGAACCAAGATGTATTAATTTCCAAATTAAGTTGCATGGCTGGTAATAACAGAAGTGGCTGCAACTCAGTGGCAGAGCATCACTTAGAATGGACCATAGTTCTGGATCCTATTCACAGAGTGATCAGTCAGTAACAGTGAAATAGGAAAATGGGATTTGAAGGTAAGCAGCCTTTCCTGAGCCAGGGGACTTAAAAATTACACACTGGTCTGCAGGACTGACTGACATTTTAGAAGAGCTGATCTTCAGTACCGATGAGTAATGGGCATTCTTGTATATACTTCTAAAGGTACACTAAGAAGAGAGCACCACAAGAGGAAAAGAGAAAGGGACAGAGTGAGGAAGTGGATAGAAGGGAGGGAGGGAGGGAGGGAGGGAGAGAGGGAGGGAGGGAGGAAGGAAGGAAGGAAGGAAGGAAGGAAAAAGTAATCCACGTAAACTGTCTCAGTGGATGACCCCCTTAAGGTCCTGAATTCCTTGCTCACATTCTCTCTCCTTCCACTCTTCAACTGGATCTTGGGAGCTCAGTCCAGTGCTCCGATGTGGGTCATTGCCTCTGTTCCCATCTGTTATTGAACGAAAGTTGTATGGTGATATTTAAGATAATCGTCCATCTGACTACAAGGTAAGGTCAGTTCAGACACCCTCTCCTCTATTGTTTAGGCTCTTAGGAGGGGTCATCCCTGTGGGTTCTTGGGCATTTTTCTAGAGCCAGGTTTCTTGCTAACTCTATAATGGCTCCCTCAATCAAGATATCTCTTTCCTTGCTCTCATATCTGTCCAACAATTTGCTTGAGCTAATGGAAGCTCACCAATTCCAACTGGACTGGGAGTGAATGAGCATGGGAACAACCAAGCCCCTCTGAAGGGTGTTGACAGCTGGGGCAGACTGAGGGACCACTGATAGTGACACTGGGATGTGTCTCTACTGCATATACCAACTTCATAGGATTCTATTCTTTTTGGATGTAAACCTTGCTCAACCTAGATGTAATAGGGAGGGCCTTGGATTTTCCACAGGGAGGGGTACATGGCACTCCCTTAGGGTTGGAGGGGTGGAGGGGGAGGTCTGTGGAGAGAGAGGGAGGGGAGTGAAAGGATGGGAGGGAGTGGGAATTTGGATTGGTATTTTTTGAAGTAATAATAAAAGAGAAAGAGAGGGGAGAGAGGGGGAGAGCGGGGGGGGGGGAGAGAGAGAGAGAGAGAGAGAATGGTAATCCATATTTGGCACCTACTACATGCTCAGCAGTGTATCAAGTGCTTTCTACAAATGACCTGAGAAATATAAGTTGCCTTTCATAGGTTTCTCCATCTTCTAGAGAATCGCTGAACTTTTCTCCATTAGTGATTATAAGAATGCATTCAAAGCCAGGCTGGGGTGGCGCACGCCTTTAACCCTAGCACTCAGGAGGCAGAGGGAGTCGGATCTCTGTGCATTCGAGACCAGCCTGGTCTACAAGAGCTAGTTCCAGGAGAGGTTCTAAAACGCGAAAAAAAAAAAAAAAAAGAATGCACTCAAACTACGCGTCATTTTGATCCATCATGTTCAACAAATCTTTCCTGAGGGAGCTTTCACATAAGTAGATAACAATCATAGATACACTAAAACCTAGACAAGTAGAAGGACGAAAGTGTCCTTTCATAGAAAGAAAAGCTCCCAAAAGAGAGAAGGCAGACCTCACCAGCTTCACATGTACAGGATGCTGTGTTTAAAAACTTATCAAAGGCAGCAGATAGGGCAGTCACAGTTCCTCCACGACTTGTCACAAATACATACCACAGTCTTGCAATGCTGTTTAGGACTATAAGGGGTTACCTAGGTGCAGAGCCCAATTGGTCATCTTTCCCTCTCAAGATGACATTTCATCAGGTTAGGAAC